TATAAAACAAAAGCATTTGAGTTATATATATATTTTTATGGGATAAGCCATATGAGCTGTTGGGGTACTGAAAGTTAAATGTTTATCACCGCTCATGCAACACCAGGAGTTTTTTGTTGCCGGCATAACCAGGATCTGATGATGACATCCCAGAGAAATCGAAACTTTTTTTTATAGGTTAAACAGGTAGGCTCACCTGATGTTAAGTGATACCTTAAAAATGGGTTAAAAATCATTAAAAAATGAAATGATTCCTTGTTTTTGATAGAATTATTATATATATCTCTCAGGAACTCAGAGTAATAGTGACAGGCAGATAGGAGTCCTTCGGAACACTCCCCATGATCTATAAAAAAAAATCACTTTATTTGACGAAAAAAACAATTACATTTTGTACTTACATTCTAAATGTTATAAACATACAATATGCAACGAATCGTTGTGTTCTCACTATTAATTTTGGTTAACCTCGTACATAAAATAACTCTATGTGCACTAGCGTTTAAACTAGGCCTAGCCTGTAACTTAAACGCTAGTTCCTTCCAGTGTCTTTAACAAATTGGCTAAGTTGTTTGTCATTAGAGATTTATTCGGGTTATATTTTTATTGTTTATAAAACTAAATGAGGATAGAATCTAAAAAAAGTTGTTGCAATTGGTTAGACCGTAGTAAATGTGAACTTCGACAAAGATTTTTAAATCCTGTGGATGAGAAACTTGAATTTGAGATATGAATTTATTGTCGTTATAATTTATATAATTACGGAAACTAATATTTAGTATTAAGATTTTATATTTAAATTACATTTCTGAACGCTCTTAGGGCTGAAGTTAGATATTTTAAATAGGAAAATTTATTATTTTACATTAGCAAACAAGTTTTCTATTTCATTATATTTCTGAGGTTTTAGCCATTCAACCAGTTTTATTTTACATTCATAAATATTCAGAATTTTATTCAGCCTATTGTACAACATGGGGCCTGTATAATAGATAGAAGATGCAGGGAGGCTGTATTACAGTTCTCAGTTTTTGATTAATTTTATTTGTTTAGACTTTTAAAGCTGCGTTTAGGTTAGAACATGAACGTTTAATACGATGTTTAAATAGTTATGTTAGCTGTCATGTCACGATAAACTAAACAAATAGACAAACACTTCTATCTTGTATTTGTAATCTTAATAGACACGACGTTTTTTACCGAATTTAAGAAAAAAATCGTAATTCATCCATTCCATCCGTAGACTAGTTCTAGATGATACAGGTGAAAAAAGATTTAGATTTGCAGTGAATCCCCTGCGAAACACCATACGACCCCTGAAAAAAAAAATCTAAGAAATAAACAAATTTTTTTGTCGTGGACACCCCTTATCACTTAAGGGTTTGAAAGATAGATAGTAGCCGATTCTCAGACCTACTGAATATGCATAAAAAAAAATAGGAATCAAGCTGTTTCGCATAAGTATGGGAACGAACATAGTGGCACGAGAATTTTATATATTAGAGATTAGAATATACATATTTTAGGGTTAATTCTCCAAAACACTTTCATTAATATTCACTTTAGTTTTTGTTAAATATAACAATACACTCAAACAATATCTTACGCAAACAAAAGGACAAGACCTATAAACTACTTTCTTTGAAACCGTTAGTTACCCCGTTAAGGGTTATTACTGGATCATAAAACAATAACAATTAAAAATACTTTAACACTTAACAGTAAAGTTTGGTGGAGGTTGTTGGAGGGATGTACAAATATATGTTAAATGAAACTCAACTGGCTTTAATCGTTTAAAACATGAGCTTATAACTAACATAAAGTTAGGGGTATTGGGGTTGCGACGCTGGATTAACAAAAAACTGTAAGTTTATTCCTCTGGGTTCTTAAATCTAGTGACACTTTTGTTGCTTATAAATATCATAAGTGAAGTCAACTTATTGGACATTATCGGAAACGCGAATGTTATATTATAATTTATGAGTGAGGGGAAAACTAAAGGGCTCATTTTGGGTTCAGGTGTGCGATGATTGCTAACATTTGAAGAGTTATGTATGATATAAAAAATAAATCAGTGGCACTACAACCTCTTTAGGTCTTGGCCTCAGATTTCGGAATCTGTTTCATGATCGTTTTTTAATCTAATAGGCAAGTAGGTGATCAGCCTCCTGTGCCTAACACACGCCGCGCCGTCGACTTTTGGGTCTAAGACATGTCGGTTTCCTCGCGATGTTTTCCTTCACACAGTACACAGCTGGGAATCGAACCTAAGACCTCAGGTATGAGAGGCGCACGCTGAAGCCACTAGGCCAACACTGCTGTATGATATAAATTTTGGTTTTACGTAAATTTACTGAAATATAGCGATGATTGCCAAGCACCAAAATGCAGGTTACATTTTAAAGGAGTTGTTCGGACCTGTAGCTGAATTTCATCATAGGAAATCTGAGGCAGAATTCGAATTTACACCCGTATCGAGATAGGTTCACAACTGAGCGTCATTTAAGGCCGTGGGTACCACCACTATGTGGAACCAGCTGCCCTCTGAAATATTTCCGAACCAATTCGACTTAGGGTCCTCCAAAGAGCGTACCAATTCTTAAAAGGCACTTGCGAGCTTTCTGGTGTTGTCCATAGGTAGTATTACTATACATCAGGGGACCCTCCTGCCCGTTTGCCCCTTTTCTATAAAAAAAAGACGAAGCCGATGCGTCAGGCCATAAACAATTTGTATTGTTGCAAGTTGTAAAATATTATTGACTAACACAATCGCCATTGTTGATAATATCACCATGGTTTTAGGTTTTACGGGACTGCATTTTCAGTTTACTTAATATATGAATTCAATATAATAGTTTATTGTGACTCAATTAACCTTAGGATTAGCTTCTACATTTTTGTTTATACATATTATTATTTATATTATTTCTTTCAATTTTACTTTATTTAATTTTAGTTATAGTTACATGATATATTGAGTTCTGCTTGTACTTTACCCTCTGTAGGTGTTTCTTTTTTATTCCATATTAGGGTTGCCTGGAAGAAATCGCTTGTTAGTGATAAGGCTATTTACAATACAAAATTATATATATTTATATATATATAATTTTGTATATGGTAACGAAGTGTAAATAAATAATTTAAACACTCTCAATGCCAGAGGGCTCGCAAGTGCGTTGCCGGCCTTATATAAATTGGTACGCTCTTTTCTTGAATGGCCCTAAGTCTATTTGTCCTGACCAGGGGTGCCTTTGATCCGATATTACAGTCACAAAATAGCCGTTTCTATCGGTAAGTTTTGGTCATAGTACAAAATGCGTATGAAAATGTTTATATTTGACCCGCCATTATTATTTTGAAGTCCAGTCAGACTTGATGTCCTTCTTTTCAACTAACATGTACGAGTATGCTATTTAAGCGTTTGCAACTATTATTATTATTATTATGCCTTTATTGCTGACACCAATAAAATATATAAACATTTGTTTTAATTACATAACCTAACTTAATCTGATACATCAGATTTACCAGTTTTGGCGAACACCGACTTCCAAACTTCTAAATAAGTAAACGCTTGCAACCACTTACCTGGGTGTCCATGGACAGTGGGAGCTTTATTTTGCGTGTTGTTCCGACGAGAATGTGTGTGCTCCTATTTCACCATGCCTCCTGCTGATAGAGGACAAGTCTTTGTTTTTAATTTATGTTATTATTATTAATTAATTAAGATGTCACACTTACACACACTCCACAGAACATGGTGTTATAGTTTGAGCTCCTTACAAACGTTGTGTAAAAAAAAACATGGCGATTAGAAAGAGTGGCAGAGAGTTTATTGCCAGTTCTTCTCTTCCATTCTACGCCCTTGATTTGAGAACAGGCGCTAAATGTAAAGTTAGAAGCATTTCATATACATTTCTTTTTTTGACGTTCATAAGTGTACATTGTGTTACCTATATGATTAAATGATTTTTTACTTTTATTCTGCAGGCTTGGTACGAAAAAACACATGACACAAATATTTAATAGTAGCTGCCACCCCCTCTTAAGCAGAAACGTTTTTTATTAATAATTAATTTGTCAACATTGTTTTTAAAAATCTTTAGATTTTAGATTTTCACTTGCTATTATACAATTCTTCCCATCCTCTGTACTACAACTATAAGGGGGCACTTAGGTACTTGGGATGCACCCCTACCCCCCTTAACAGTCACAGTCAGTCGTCTTGCGACTCCCTATTGTGTGTTCCACTCGATTTAGGTTAAATTACATAAATCATTTCAGGTTAAACATTTTCTATTGATTGACAAGAATGGTGGAGTTTTTATTTGATGCCCAGATTATGATTGATGCAGGGTGATAATGGCCTAGTGATGTGATTTAATATAGTATTTATTTATGAAGGTAAAATAATGGCACAGTTTTTACAATTATATTTAATAGTGCGACTCTCATCCCTGATGTAAACATCGTAATACACTAGACCCAATTAGGCAAAGGCTGATCACCTATCTGCCTCATGAAACAGATACATAGGACCCAGACCTGAAAGTTTGTAGCGAGAACATCGTAATACCTGCGTTAGACCCAATCAGGCAAAGGCTGATCACCTACTTGCCTCATGAAACAGATACACAGGACCCAGACCTGAAAGGTTGTAGCGAGAACATCGTAATACCTGCATTAGACCCAATCAGGCAAAGGCTGATCTCCTACTTGCCTCATGAAACAGATACACAGGACCCAGACCTGAAAGGTTGTAGCGAGAACATCGTAATACCTGCATTAGACCCAATCAGGCAAAGGCTGATCTCCTACTTGCCTCATGAAACAGATACACAGGACCCAGACCTGAAAGGTTGTAGCGAGAACATCGTAATACCTGCATTAGACCCAATCAGGCAAAGGCTGATCTCCTACTTGCCTCATGAAACAGATATATGAGAGGCCCAGAACTAAACCTACGATAAAGTAATAAAAAAGGGTCTGGCTTAAAAGATATGTGTATGGGTGAGATTTATCATACCACGTTGGGACACTTCTATGGGTGTGTCCGACAAGCATAGTGAAAAATAGAAGTCTTTCCTCCAACTTTGATTTTGTTCCCAATGAAGTAGAGATTCTTGGGGCTTCGCTTTATACAGGTACCTAAATAAAGATTCAGGGCATTGCCAGTGACCCCAGAACTGGTGCTTTTCTTGCCTAACGATATCGCAATAGAAATGCCAGCATTAAAGGTTTCGCACAGGGGACTTTAAATTTATTTAAATTTCTAATCCATTTCTTATTATATTATAGTATGGAGTATTCAAAGATTTGTGGTCTCTGAAGAAGACCTATGATTAAGATGAGGTAGATATAGAAGAACTGGCATATTATCGACAATTTAGAACAGCACTATGAAAGGAAATTTTCGAATTTCTCGAAGCAAGAATTGCTTATATATAGTGAAAACACTTATATATATTTACGATCTCTCGAAACTGTCTCTTCTCTCTCTTTCGTCCTTTTTTTGTGATCAAACATACTTATGTAGATTACATTTTAAATACAACGGGGGCAAACTGGCCGGCGGCTCACCTGATGTAAGTTGTGATACCACACATGGGCACTCTGAATGCGAGAGGGCTCGCGAGTGCGTTAATGTCCTTTTAGGAATATCATTTGAACTCTGATTTTTTTTATTAAATAGACACATAAACCTCTAGTTTTTTGTTTTATTAAATAAATAAGTAACTACAGATCGGCTGTACAACATGTCCCAGGAGTATGAAATATTTTAGATGCAAATAAAAAAGTCACGTACATTTTTAATGAACACAGTTTGATTTGGACAGTTGTATTTAAATAAAATTTGATTATTTTAATTGTACATTTGTACATTGTTAAGATGTGATAGTTGATATTCAAAAAAAAAATGAGAAATAGACACCTAAATAAATGTACCTCCTAAAACCCCACTGGACATCTTATATTAATTGGGAGTTTTAAGGGTAAAAAACGGTTTATCTCGATTTCCGGCAAAACTAAAAGTCCTATGGAAAAAAGTCAAATGGCAAAGTTGTGGGTTATAAAAAGGTCGAAAACTTTTGTATTTACAAATTTTTTACATAACCTCAAAATTTATGTGAAAAATTCAAAAAACCAAGTTTTTGGTTTTTAATTTTTATCTTTTACAAAATTTATTTTTTTCCCACGAAATTTGGTGAAAACTTATCTTTTTATGTCTTTAATACGCTGTAATTTATTTGATTTGAAATAACAATTTTTTCACCTTATTTTGAATTAATATCGAAAAAGCACCCTAATTATATCAGCTTATCACCCGTCAAAATATCAGATTTTTTCAAAAAGTTGGTGTGCTTTCAGTTCGTTGAAATCTCTACTTTCCTATGGTAAAAAAATATATATATCTGTAGTAAATCTTCTCAGAAAATATTAAAAATCGTATGCAGTAACGCCCAGACCCGTCATCCCCTTCCCTACTTCTCTATGAAATACGAAAATTTTAGCCCATCTAAAGGCTAAAATTTTTTTTTAGGCCACTCAGGTACATACATATAAGTTATCTTAAAATAGTAATAAATTTTTTAAAAGTTTCTACCCTGGTCTATATGTGTAACCAACTAGCCACTGAAGTATTTCCGAACCAATTCTTAGGGTTCTTCAAAGATCGTACCAATTCTTAAAAGGCATTTGCGAGCTTTTTTTATTATTATATATTAATTTTGACCAACAGCATTAATCCTTATCCAATTAAATACCTTAAATACATTGTTGATTTAATATAGATTTATAAGGCCCTTTACAGCATATGATTTAAATGAATATTTTCGATAATATTACAGATTTAAAAATTGCGCGACGTAGCGTTTACGGCTGTACTGGCCGGCCGGGGCGGCGGGAGCGTGCCTTTAAATAGCGCGTTGGAGGCCGCGGTTCTCCCTATAGCACTTTGAATTAAGTATTAGCATGGCACCATTAAGCAAGACAATTGACAATCTGACAGCTGACATCCATCCGCCATATTGTAAGTGAAAAACAAAAGCCAGTGGCGCTTCAACCTTTTTAGGTCTGGGCCTCAAAATTTCTTAATTTTCATGATTGTCAATTTAAGAGGCAAGTAGGTAATCAGCCTCCTGTGTCACACGCCGTAGCTTGGGTCTTTGGCACGCCGGTTCCCTCTTGAGACCATCACCGTTCGTCGAATGTTAAATGCGCAACCTCAGGGATGACAATCACTGAAGCCACTAGGCCAACACTGCTCTTCTGATCGTGAGAACGCAGCTAAAATATTATCACTTATATAACACACTGTTGGAACCATAACTGTGGTCCCTTGAGATTTAAACGTACATTTTCTAATTACTGGTTTTAATATTTACTTATGGGGTTTAATTTTAACTATTTAAAATATTATATATTCCTGAAGTTGAATTGTCAAAGATGTATCAATTAAATAGGTGAAATATACACTATCCCTCTCGAGGGGGGCGTTTAAGCCCGTTGGGGCGTAAGCCCACAATACAGAGCGGGCTATTTACTATTTAGCCCTAATGGATGCAGCGTGCAGTCGATATCGCGTTAATACTTAATGTTGATGTACCGGATAACCAGACTAGGGAGTAGGGACCGAGGCGTGACACTCCACTCAGTCGGAGTCCAGTCCGTTCTCGAAAGTGTTTAATTTGATATATTGAACTAAAAATAACAATTTATATAGATTTTAAAATTTAGCCACTGAACAATAATCTGAATTATGTCAGCCTAGCTCCTTCCAGAAGCTCAGAAGTTTCCTGGGCACTTCGCAGTCTTTATAGCTACCTCACCGCTCCGAGGATTTCTGCTGGAAGCCACAGGGACGCATTCCAGGACTACGTGGGTGACTGATTCCTTTGCGCTGAAACAGAGGCACAAGAGACTGTCTGTCACGCCAACTCCAGAGAGATGTTTATTAGGGAGACAGTGGCCCGTAATGGTCTCTTTAGTTTACGGCTAGAATTACTGCGTTGACGTCATATACTAAAACGCGATATCGAAGTCATTCTCGCTGAGTATATATCTTGATAACACTTCACTGACCGAGGTCCATCCCGCGACGGCCCCAGCCGAGGACAGAATCTCACAGGTGACGCCCATGCTTGCGCTACTCGCAGGAATAGCCGATTCCGCCTGAGTTGAGCTGTAAAGGCCCTTCAGGTCCACAGCGATATTCAAAAATAATTCACTGGCAGTAGGTTTAAGGCATGACTACTGGAGCGAATCAAGCCCAACGCCTTTCGCCTCCACCTCACCAAGGGTTATTATGCTTGCCCCGGTGTCGTTCTGCATCAGCTGGACGCGAACAACCACATCACCAGCTCAGCCCGAACTGACCGATGTCCGCCCCAGAAGGGAAGCAGATAAGCACAGGCAAACAGTGGTCAAAGACCTCTCTAGTCTCTAAGTTGGAGGAAGAGTATCTTCCACCACAAATCGCTGGCATAACTAAGCTATGAGGGGAAAAGATTACAAAAATACCTTATTAAAGTAAAACACATGTCTTTGATATAAGGCAATTTTATTCGGTCATAACATATATAAAATCACAATATATAATAAATATAATATGTGAGTAGAAAAATATAACATGCAATCAGAATAGCATTTACAGCTTGTTAAAATATAAAATAATATTATATTCAGCTTGTGAAAACGAATAAAATAATATTAACATACATTAAAAATAGTATATAATATCATGTTACGTTATTTAGTTAAAGAATGCGTTGCCGACCTTTGGATTACGCTCTACAAAGAGTCGATTCTACAGTTTGAAGGTAAATGGCGGATCAGGAAATACTTTCAGCCATCAGCCCTGCGATTCTGTAACTCACTTTTCGAACTCACACAGCGGTTTTCGGATCGCCGGTCGCTCTCAAATCAGTCGTGAAGCAGTCATTTTATGATTTGGCATTCTGAAAAGGTGGAAGCTTGTAGTTTATTGTTTATTAGAATGCGAAATCATAAAATGACTGCTTCACGACTGATTTCAGAGCGACCGCCGGTGCGAAAACCGCTGAGTGAGTTCGAAAAGTGAGTTACAGAATCGCAGGGCTGACTTCTCAGAAATAAAGAGGGACTGTCGATCCGCGTCACCGTAGCACGATCGCCACGCATTCTAAAATATGTAAAATACAGTCCTCCATCTAACTGGGTTGATATGCCAGTACATTTTGTATATTATTTTTTTTCTTTTGTCATTTCTTCTCTTGACATTACTTCTTTTGTCATTTCTTCTCCAGTCTCCTCTTGAATCCTCTTTAACTCTTCCTTCCTCTTATCCTCCATCTTCTTTTGTTTAACACGTTTCAGACGAAACGTCTCCTCTCTCTCTTTCTCGTCCAACTCGGAGACAATATATTTCGACGTCAAATTTATCCTTGGTACGACTATTTTGGACAGCACATTGCCTTTTCTGAAAAGAGAAATATTTTAAACAACTTCATATGCCACATGTGATGGGATTTCAAGGATATAGGTTTTGGAAGAGCGGATTTTGCGAGCGGAGAGAAGAGAATTTCTATATATAGGACACCTAATAGCTCATCAACCACGCGATCAGACAAATCTTTGGCCGAGAAGCTAAGCAGAAGGGGAACGTCTAATCCCCCTTTCCGAAAAATGGGGACTTTTTTACTTACATATGTGGCCTGGTATATGGTGCCTGGTGGGCTAATAGTTTTCTAGTACTTGGGGGCAATAAAACCTAATTGAATTCATTAAAATCAGTTTGAGTTTCCGTTTCAAATTAAATATTCATTGCATACGAAAATAGCATTTGTTAATAGACATGGAAACTGACACTACCGCCATAAACTTTCGTTCGCCAGGGCTGTGCTAAGAACAAATGAGGTAATTTTTATCAGACATCAAAATTCACTAGATGGTAACACACCTTTTGCATCTAATACTAAAACGCGGTAACAAGTTAAATGCTAAGTTTGTGTATAGTTTTTTATTCGTAATATAATCAGTGGGCGCTACGACTGTGCAACTCCATGTAGATGATGAAGTCGGTTAAATTTTATTAAATACAAATATTATAAAACGAGATCCCTCCCCATCCAATCATAACATCGTCATTTTTTATTATTTTACTCCAAAACGTTTAAAACTATGTAGTATGTTTTATACAGATTAAAATAAAGTAAATCAGGTGCGCTACAACCTCTTTAGGTCTGGGCCTCAATCCTGAATCTGATGCATGATCATTTTTAAATCTAGGCAAGTAGATGATCAACCTCCAGTGCCTGACACACGCCGTCGACTTTTTAGATCTAAGACATGTCGATTTCCTCACGATGTTTTCCTTCACCGTTCGAGCGAATGTTATAAGTTTTATAAAGATTACCTGAAAAAGTTTTCATATCAAATTGCTAGTAAATAACGATTGCCGCATTGCCAACCCTAATACCAAACTTTTTCAGCAAAGTCTAGACCCGACTAAAAGCATTGGCTAATAGTATTCCAGACCTTCCAGAGAATAATTCTTATATTACAGACACCAACTTTAGTTAGAATTTACGTCATTTTAACTGCCTTAAAAAGTGATATAGTAGTATATTATGTTCAAGCATAGCACCTCCATCCGTGGACGAATCTAGATGATAAAGGTGTCAGCTGATTCGTATTTGCAGCGACCAGATCCCAAAACCACCAGACCAGTTGTAGTCAGACTTAGTTTTCAGGATATTAACTAAAATGTCCCAGCAAAAAAATCGACAAATTTTGTCACTTATAAGGTTTATCAGGTAATTCATACCCCTTTTACATAAAAAAATGAGGGAGAAGGTGCTGTTCCACCTAAAGGATCCTGGACCAGTCAAACCATTAACTCTTTTTGAATGGAATCTCGCTGTCGGCCTGAAGGGCTTTAACAACTCATCTCCGTTGCTTTGGCGAGCAAAGATTAGGGTCCTGGAAAGACCGTACCGTTTATAGTCCAGCAAACGCACTCGCGACCTCGTCCTTTGCGACCCTCTGGTATCTAGAGTGTCAATGGGCGGTACTTGGGGTCCTTTAAAGAGCGAACCAATTCTTAAAAGGCAAATACGAGCCTCCTGCCCGTTTGCCCTCTGTTCTATAAAACTCACTTTTTGATACCGCAAAAAAGTATGCAAGCAAAAAACTAAAGGCCTGTCTAAAATAATGATACATTCAGTTACAGCTGTAACTCCTGGACGTCTCGACTCAATCGATTTTCATGAGCTGTGTATGGTGGTTTTAAACCCCACGCGTTCCCCAACCAACAATTTTATAGATCCAACTCTACAATCATTTTGACCTGGAATTTAAATGTCTGTATCTGTATTTCAATACACAAGTAGGTAATCAGCTGTGTTTTTGGGTCTAACGATTTCCTTCACCATACCATCGCACGACACATAGAAAGCCCATTGATACACAGCCCCATTGAGCCATCAAACCTCACGGAAGATAGACACTGTTCCAAGGTCAACCCAGTACTAGGCCACTAGACTCTATATAATCTAAATTAAGTTTAAGACCATAAGTTAACACCGTTTTAGGTGAGGTCATTCACCTCTGAACCAGTTCCGAAGCCTGGTCAAGGATTCTGAGTCATTTGGTAGGCGTGGTGTGAAATATATTTTGCCTGCATTTACATGGAGAAGCCTAAGTTTAAACGTTTAAAAATAATCCACCTCCCTGCCAATATTAAATTTATCATAGCTTATTTTAATTGGCACACAATCGTCGCCATGACAACGACATTACCACTAAACAATATCGTAATTATACCAGCTTAATTGCGATGGGAAATTGACATTTGCAACCTAATTTCATTCAGTCTTTGAATTTAAATTTTAAAATCTAATTTTGTATACTACAAAGAACGGTTAATACACAACAGTTTTAGCTTGAATAATTTTATACGTATTCATGTTTCAGACAGACAGCCGTACGCTCTTTAATGTACCCAATTTGTCTTGGGGATGGTGAAATACAAATTAGAAACAAGACTGTACAGTTGGCGTAAGACCGATGGCTGGCCAGTGGCCATGCGTCATACTCGTGAACTGGTGTACTTGTGGTTACTGGTCGTACTTAGGACTCCCACACAAAACTGCGATACGATGCGAATTTCTGCGATACGATTTAGTGCGGCAAACCGTTTGGTAGGGCGACCATTCCTTCGTAGTCAGCCGTACTGGACGTGTTTTTAGGAAGCGTAAGATGTATCGAAAAAGATTATTGCACTGCTGTTATTGTTAAATAGATATAAAAGAGAAAGAAGATTCTGGGATAATCCATTTATTACGATTATGAACTCTGATGCGAACTTTTACAGACGCTCTTCCACGCATCTTGCTTAATAATTTTTTTTTATAATGTTCATCACTTGTGTCACAAAAGACGGGACGCTCCTCAATTAAAAAATCCATATCATATTCCGCAATTTTTATAAACAAAGAAGGCGGTGGAGGCGCCGCGCGTCTTTCTCTAAAGCGGTCTCAGAGCGGACTAAAATGGCGTCACCAAGGATGACGTAATATCGCAAGAATGTGCGACGCGAAGCAGATCGGAACTTCTTGCGGTGCGTTCGTGCGAATTCGCAGATATTTGCGATGCGATGCGAATTCGCAGTTTTGTGTGGGAGCCCATAAATTCGTGTATGCGGTGATGTTAGTTATTTCGACTATGTAATTGCGTGTTGTTCCCACGAGAATGTAAGTGCGTGCTCCTTTTTCACCATGCCTCCTGCTGATAGAGGACAAATCTTTGTTTTTAATTTATTTTATTGTTATTTATTACTTTATATGTCATATGGAACATGGTGTAATAGTTGCAGCTCCTTTAACAAACGTTGTATAAACAAAAAACTTGGGGATTAAAAAGAGTGGCGGAGAGTTTATTGCCAGTTCTTCTCTTCCGTCTTCTCAATTGAGAACTGGCAGTCAATGTAAAATTAGAAGCATTTAATGTATATTTCTTTTTTGATGTTCATAAGTGCACATTGTGTTACCTATATGAATAAATGAGTTTGACTTTTTTTACTACCATTTACTTAAATACTTGCAATAAGGGTCCAAATCTGTTGCACAGATCGCCGTTAACAAAGACGTTGCTACTAAATGCTGTCTCCACGACATCTTTATATGTTCGCAGAGTTCACAGTAGCGATATTGACATTATCGACATTATCGTATTCGTTTAGTACTGTGAGGGTGTATGTTTGTTTTGTGAATAAAGATAAAAATGAATTTTGAATAGTAATCCCTGAATACATCAGATGTGTACTTGTAGGATAAGGAAAGATAGGAACCAATGACTGATAAAAACTTTGCCTTTATGCTCCAGAATTGGACTGATTTAAAAAAAACTTTCACCATTAAAACCCTACATTATCCCTATTGAAGGCTATAGAGCAACGTGGGCACGCCCCAAAGGGGGGCATTTCGATTGTTAAGGGAAAATTAAAGAAATTATATTTTAAAATGTACTGTGTTTCATTAAAAAATCCTAATAATTTCTTCCTGAAACCTACATTTAAATGTCTTAAATGAACAATTATATTTTTTAATATTCCAAATTATATATATATGTGTATTACATACGGCGGCCTAGCCATTTTTAGGCTTACGAAAAAGCGTTGGGAAACAATACTATATGTTTAAAAAAAATTGAAATTACCAAGTAACCCAAGAATATAGTATTGTCTTTTATTGACATAACCTTTACACATTAAAAGAAAAAACTTTTTAACCGGATTAAAGTTATGTATTATTATAAATTTACAATTATTTAACATAATTTTAAATTTATCCCACGTTTCGCGTGCTTTACAGCGTGCGTGGTCACGGTGACTGAAGACAAAAGGTGTTGGATGTCAAAAAGTATCACAGCTGTAGAGAAAGTTGCATTATCTGTATTTATTTCCCCGGAGTTGGTATCGACTAAAAGATGGAGGGTTTTGGCAAAAATGGCTCACGGTGTCCTCTATTTTCGCGGATTGTTTTTCTTGAGGTTTTAGAAGACATCAATATCTATATATGTATAACAAAATCTTTTGCATTTAAAAGTCTATTTACCTAAAGCTTTAGGCTAAAGATCATACTGCGGTATTTGATATCGGAACATTATCGTTAAACACATTTAATTATCTTGAACAAAGACGTATTGTTAATTTAATATCTTGGGTTACACTATCGTATAATACGTTCGTTAAAACACTTTATAGCCTTCATCAGGGATAACATAGAGTTAATGGTGAAATAATTTTTCAAATCAGTCCTGTTTTGGAGCCTAATTAAATCAAATATAATATCTTTATTATTAGTGTAACTGATTCTCTAAGATAAACAAACATCCAAATAAAGAACTGTGTTTTTCACTTACAAACAAACATTATATTATCTCAAATCAGTCATGAAGCAGTCATTTTATGATTTGGCATTCTGATAAACAATAAACTACAAGCTCCCACCTTTTCAGATGACCGCCGAAAAGTGAGTTACAGAATCGCAAGGCTGATCTATAGAACGAATCTTTGTGTAGCAAGTGACAGCTCATACCTGGGGTATTTAATAATAATTACACACTATTTAAACCAATTGATTAAGAAATCCTTAGCAATAAATATAGGTCAAACATAATTATAGATTACAAATTGATCGGAAATTGTCATTGTTACAAGATGGCCGCTCAATTACCGCCATTGTGTAGTAATGCCATCAATTTCTTTACAAATAATATATAAGCGCCGTGTACTTAAATGAATCGGCAATGGAAAATCGATATTGCGAGCGAACTCATGATGCTACGATAAATTACCATTTTTCTATAAACCACCGCATTTAACATGGAGAGTGTTCAGAGTTTTTCGGATAATTTCATCATCGGACGTCCATTACAACTGATATTTAAGATAGGTTGATCCAGCTTCCCACTGAAGTATTATATACTAATTCGACTTAGGGACCTTCAAAGAGCGTACCAATTCTTAAAAGTCTAGCAGGCCTTCTGAGACTGTGAGTGTCCATGGGCAAAAATAATGTTTATATTACGATTATATTTTTCAATTTCATTATTTTTTCCTTGCTTTAAGGTACACCTTAAAAATACATTTTGTATCCATTGTAAGTGTAAACATTATGCGGGTATATCATAAACTCTTTTGCTTGATTTATAATTTGATACATTTTAGTATATAGTTATTTTGGGCTGGCGATCTGAGTGAGTTGTTGCCCCACATATTTTTATGGTGCCACTGGCGGTATTGCTGTGTACCGGGTTGTGCAGCTCCCTCAAAAATGGTTGAGCTGCATGAGCTATTCGGGGCATGCTTGCCGTCTGCTGGCACAGGCTTGCTCAGATCGATCTGGTTCTTTCTTCCAAAGACCAGTCCAGTAAATACTCTGCATTTGTTTACACCAATTTATTAATTTATTATTGTATTATCTGGACTATAAAAGAGACTAAGACCCCCGAGTTTGTTTCGACATTTCTTCTCAGGGCAGTCAGTTAGGAAATGTCGACTTCATCTAGTTTAGGATGACATTGTAAAAGTGATTTATATAGTCCTACTTGCAAGAATAAACTATTTCATTTCAAACTATTTCATTTCATTTCATTTCATTTCAAAGACATGATATATAATATTTTTCTCTTTTCGTCACATCAACACCAACTATGCAAAACACTCAGCTGTATGCAGCCCGGACATACAACGAACACTAAGCCTTGATTTGTTTAATCCGAATCTTAAAGGGAATATTAAGAATTTATTTATATTAATTACTTTGTAAACAGAAAATTAATTGATATATCGTTTGCTGTTTCTTAACAGCATACAGCTTAATAATCAGATTGATTGCCCGAACCTTCTATCTAAATTTAAGTTTCGTGTACCCTCTCGATACCCTAGCCATCCCATTATTCCATATTTTGTCCTTCCTTTCCGTAGAACGCGTTTTGGTCCAAGCTCACCGATGTCCAGATTAAGCATTCTAAACGAGCTAGGTCTGGATATCCATAGTTGCTCCCCTCACACTATTAAATCGATTTTTGTTTAGTTTTTTGTAATTAATTTTTTTTGATTATTAATTGTTTTTTTAATGTTTGTTTTGTTTAATCATTGTTTTAATTAATATTTGTATGATCTCTACATGTTTCATATTTGGCTTTAAGTGCTTGTCACATTAAAAATTGTATTTTGTGGTTGTTTTACCAATGTATCGGTGTGCCGAGCGTTGGCAAGCTTTTTAACAATAAAAAAAAAAGAATATCCATAGCGCTAACCTGCATCATGAGTACACCCCACATGTATGAACCATGGGGTGATACAACACAGCCGAATTAGGTATTATATAGTTATATGTATTCAATAATTGACTTGTAAATGTTTGAACGTTAATCCATTGTTTTTGATGCCTTGTACAAAAATAATGGGAAGTCATATTTGCTATAAATAGTTGTAACACTGATGGAAAAGGGACAAAGCAAAACTCACAAATTCAATTTCCTGACACGACGGCGGCTTGTATAGCAATTGTTTGACTTTCGGGTGCCGACACACTACACGGTTTAAATATAATATTTACCCTTTATCAAAAACCATTCCATTAATAACCTACTAATTCTGTAAACTAACACAGTTAAAACAAAAGATTAAATTATCACAGAGCTATGGAAAGAAGTATTTATAAACCATTTTAGATCTGGGCCTCTTATGTATCTGTCAATCTAATAGGCAAGTAGATGATCAGTCCCCTGGTGCAACACAGCGACGTGACGAGTCTAAGGCAAGCCGGTTTCCTCACGATGTTTTACATTACGAGCAAGTTTTATATGCGCATAGAACGGTCTATTGGTGTACCGGCTGTACACCTAGTGGCTTCAATGTGCTCATTCCTAAGGTCTTAGGTTCGATTCCCGGCTGTTCCCCAATTCATGTGTGACATATAAATAATGTCACGAGCAAGTCAAGTGAGTAAAAAACAAGATTCTTCTGAATGGCAGCCGTGACATGGGAAAATCAGCAGGAAAATAAGCCGTAAAATCAGCATTTTCTTTTTTGCCATACTAATTGTACCAGCCTAAATTTTTTTTCAACAGTCCCTGTATGATTTTAAATAGAAATCTGATAATGCCAATACCTGTACCTACCAGCGCTTTGACCATAAAATTTTTTGATGACCAAAGACCCCTGTGGAACCGCCATACTGGTACAAATGACTAACTATTTTGTGTCACTATCTCCCGGCCAATTAAGCAAAGTCTGGAGGCCGAGGACCGGTCGAAGCGTTGGACGGCCCCACTAGATGAACACATGGTAATGGAGACCTGGTGAGGGCGGAGGGAAGTTGGAAGCAAAGCGTGACCAACCGGTAATATTGGAACTTTAGACACATAGTCCAGCAGTAGACGTCAACAGTCTGCTACTACGCTTCCAAATAGAATAGGATAGTAGTATTATTATCAATGCAACCTCTTAATATGGTAAGGCCCTTAAAATCAGGTGTAAACAGAAAAATGAAATTTTGCATAAAATCATTTCAATTATAAAACAATTGGGCCTATAGTCTGTCTCTCTTTATATTATTTTCATATGTAACATTTCTATTGATGGTGATTTATAAATCATAAATCACCTCCAATTTACAAAAATACAAGTCTTTCCTTTTTTATTTTGATCCCTTTGGACTCTTGGGCCGTGGCGTTCAAGTGTGCGCTAATTCAAGATTTAAGGCGCCTGGTAGGTGATCCTAGAGCTGGTGCTTTCCTCGCTCAAAGATATCGCAATACAGCAAGAAGATGCCAGCATTAAAGGTACAGGGACCAAACGTTTTAAAATTATTATAGTTTTTGGTAAATCTGGTATTAACTCGCAACTTAGACGTAATTATGTAAATCAATTTTTCTTTTTAATTATAGCCTTTTTAATAAAATTTTTGGTTTTCATATATTCAAAATTGTACAATGAAACAAAACTTCGGTAAATTTGACGGCTCCATATTTAAACAGCTCCATTTTTTTCACCCACTTGTTCCCCTTCAAATCTTTCACCCACTTGTTCTCCTTCAAATTCGTCAAATGGAAGAGACTAGTCCACGACACAGATTCTCTTTTAACTAAATATCCTTTTAAATTATTTTACATTCATATACAGACACTCCTTACACTCCTTATACAGACACATATTAATTTGAACACACATTTGACAGTGCACTGGCTGGCAATTTAGAATAAACAATTGTGAATTTAGCTGTAAAGCCAAACATTAGGTCACCACAAAGAAACGTAAAAATTCCTGAATATCGGAAAACACAAACGGAGCGGAAAAATTTCATATTTCTCTGACCTCAATTTCCAATTTATGATGCGATAGCGGTGAATCTTTAGTGACATATTTATATTCGATAACTGGAACAATGCAAAGAAACACTGTTATGTAGTGACATTTACAATCCACAACCTCGACCCATCAGGACCGGAGTCCCACAAGGCTGGGTCCTCGCGCTGTTCACCGGCGACATTCCTAGAGTCCTCCATGCCGATGAGACCGCTCTCTATACCACCCACAAAAACAGAGGTGTCAACCTGGACAGATTCCAGACCGCAACCACGTCGCTAGGCGAATGATTTTGGAAATGGGGCTTCCAAATAAATCCCGAGAGGACCGTCCCAGTTCTCTTTGCCAGGGGTCACCCAGAAGCTCTCGCTCAATCTCGGGAAAAACTCCGCCTCAAAAGAGAGGTAACCACCGCGACCTGTAGCTCCCTACCATAGCCTAATGGATGAAGTCGGCGTCCACACGCCACTTCAACGACGCTAAACGTCATCCCAACTCGTTGGTGCGTAAAAGTATCAATTACTACCCCTTCCCGAGAAAAAAGGCTCGTAGGAGGTCCCGACATGTCTTAATGGATACGGAAGAACTTCCTTCTAGAAAAAGCCTTCCCCTAAGCAAGCAAGTCCTGGCATTGTGGGTGTCCATGCGCGGTACTCCACATCAGATAATCCTGCATGTTTACCCCCTGTTCTTTTAGATACATATGAAGTGATCCTAACTAACCACCATAACCAGCTGCCCAGTAAAGAACTTCCGAACCAATTCGAAAGCCTTCCTAAGGCAACAACACACTCGTAAGCCCTGGTATTGTGGGTGTCTATAGGCGTTATCACTTAAAATGAGCCTCCTGCCAGTTTGTCCCCCAGAGATATACGAAGAGATGTTTTCAGATATATTAAAACCGCATGAAGATATAATTTAGATAACACGAGGAGTATGTTCTAGCTACCAATATTTTCGCATCAACGCCTCCAGCTCATGTTACCGTGTTATATGTTTGGTGCATGTGAGAAGTGATTTCATGCCAAAACCTTATCGATTTCTAGACCGTCACTATGCTGCAATGATCCACCATTTTGTTGTAAGCTGTCCCGGTGGAATATTTTCAGTAGCATTCTAATGAAGGCAGTTTTTAGGAGAAGAGATAAATAGAAAAGGAGAAGTATGAAGCGACATCTACAATCTGCGCTGACAAATCACTGCGATGACAACAAACCCCGAAACTGTGCTATCGAAGTATTACCCCTTGGGCATATTTACTTGGGCCAGTCAGCAGTTAGACTGGTCAAAGATTCTCCCTTTAGATTGGAGGAACAGTACACTAAAACTTTACACTGGAATTCTAGACCTTCTGGAAGAAGGGAGTCACCAATGTGGAGGAAGGATAGTGTAAAATACTCTGTCTACCGACTGACCTGAACAGTATTTTACACATATTCAAACTGAAGATAAGTCCCGCGTACGACTATGGTGAAAGAACCAACCAAACGGTGGTTCATTTACTTGTTGACTGCCCGACTTACGAAGCACAGATAAAAAAAAATTATGCTATAGAATTGTCAAATATGTCAGTAAGATAGGTAACACAAGAGGTACCGCGGGTCCCACCGGCCAGCTGGCTCCGACTCGCCCATAAATATCATGAGGATATTTCCGGAGTAGTTGTCGCCCGGGCCCAGCTGGAGACGCCAAGCCCACCAGACCTAGTTTAAGCAAATACAGTTCCTTTTTAGGAGCGATTTGACACTCCCCTGCTGCCTAGCTTCCACCGATCTAGCCTGATCAGTCTGATCGCGTATCTGATAGGCTATGTAAGTGTCCTGTAAATAAAAAAAATAAAAAAGACATCCCCGTGGTTAAGATAGAAGTTATATATCTTTAGCGTAAAGATTATAGGTTCATCAATTAGTTAATCAGCCAAAATACACAATGGAAGGGACCAAAGGGAAGAAGGAGAAGAGGGTGCCCCAAAAAAAGGTGGACAGAAGAAATAGAAGCGCTAGCATGTGAATGGAGAAAGGAAGCTATGGATAGTTGGAAAAAGCTGGAGGAGTCCTTTACCTGATCGACGGTACTGAAGGAAGTTAGGATAATAAGACAAAATATAGCAAATCTAAGCTCTTCTACCTTTGTTATGATTGGAAATTTTTATTATTATTAAAATACACAGTAATTTAAAGTTCAAACTTCTTTTAACTTGGACCATCAATTTTATACACGTTTATACGGCGAGGTTTGAGCTCCGATCATTTAGTTATTTCGTACATAACATAGGAATGTTATATATCACATACAACACTGTAGGAAAATGAAGTGTTTATTATTAATAATTACGCAAACGGCGGCTCACCTGATGTTAAGTGATACCACCCATCGACAATACCAGAAGGCTCGCAAGTGCGTTGCCAGCCTTTTAAGTGGTTACTTAGTTGTGGAACGATTGTCGATTACTTATTTACTTACGAGTCATAGATACCTATATATCGCACTATATGTAGGATATAAAAAGCCTTGCTATGAGTTAAAGCCTAAAAAAGGAGGTTACAGTGGACTTAAAATGACCCTATGAAACCTGACCATTGTAACGTGCTATATTTTTAACCGCCCTCCCTTCATTTCGCCTTTATATGTTTTAGCCTACCTTTTTAGTACATTTCATATGGAACATTTTGCTGTACTACCCCATAGAGATCGTTCGCTTTTCACTCCATAAAAGCCTTCCCCAGAGTTCAACGAATAATACTCGTACTGGTCCAGCCATCCAGGTTTTAACAACATATTTTGTGATTCATTTTTATTTACGATACGATTATGTAGCCACAGATTATTGGTTACACTGGCTATATGACTGTACGAGCCAGAGTTCAGAGACGTGTGCTAAAAATCACAACAGATGATGTAGTCCATAACGCAACTGTCAACAGCAATAAAATAAGAATAAAATTGACTCCAAAAGTTTTTCGCCACTATGCACGCGAGCTGTGTATCTGGTGAGGCGAGTGCGGGGGGGGCATTCCGCGAGGGGGGACTTAAGATATCGTAACACAAAAATCACCTAATTGAGAAATAAATAAATTAAATCTTTCGCTACAATAATCTGGGCTGGGCCTCAAATTTCTGTATCTGTTTAATGATTGTTAATCCTTTAGGCAAGTAGGTGATCAGCCTCCTGTGCCTGACACACGCCGTCGACTTTTTTGGTTCTAAGGCAACCGTTAAAAGCAAATGTTAAAAGCGCACATAGACAAAAAGTCCATCGGTGCCCAGCCGGGAATCGAACCTACGACAGCTCTATACAAATAAAATAAAAAAATAACGCAAAGAACCTTGCGATTTAAAAGAGAGGCGTAGTTCCAGTTTTTCTCTTGATTTAAGAACTGGCTTTAAATCTAATATATAAAATTCTCGTGTCACAGTTTTCGTTGCCATACTCCTCCAAAACGGCTCGACCGATTCTCATGAAATTTTGTGTGCATATTGGGTATGTCTGAGAATCGGACAACATCTATTTTTCATCCCCCTAAATGTTAAGGGTAGTCCACCCCTAAATATATATTTTTTTATTTTTAGATATTTTTTTTCTGTTTTTATTTTTTTTATGATACAACATTAAAAAATACATACAAACCCCTAATTTTCACCCCTCTACGATCAACCCCTATTTTTTTTATTATTTCTTTATTTTTTTTATTATAGACCGGGCAAAACGACGTTTGCCCGGTCAGCTAGTGACATATATATTAGTTTTACTGATCTAAAATGTATTTTTTTTATTTATGTTGTTCCCTTTGGAGACTCTGGGGCCGGGTTCAAGTGCAGCTAATTAAAGATTTAAGTTGGCTCCTGGTACTACCGGTGTCAGAGCTGGTGCTTTCCTCAACGAATAAGTATCGCTATTCAGCGAAGTAATGCCAGCATTAAAGGTCTACCACAGGGTAATAAATCTGGGACGAAACTTTTTACATTTGTTTTAATTTCCAATGTATTATTTACTGCTAGTAATTTAAAGGTTTTTTTGGAGCGACCCCAATCCCAAAGATTTCCACAGACTCATAGTGGTGACATAAAATTAAGACTAGCATAGAGGTGCCCCATTCCCTACGCATAATTAAAACACAACCCCACTATAAATGAATACAAGGTGTATTCAACCCTATTCCAAGTTACGAAAGTCGAAAATTCTCTAAATGTATCTTACAACCTTTCGTATCGCGATGTTATTTGAACTTAAATAAAAAATGCAGGGAAACTTCGGGTACACACCAAACTATCTTCTTCGAATAGCCGAGAATTTACACTGTGGGTGAAGTTGCTAGAGAAAAGAGGGAGTAAGAGATGGAGAAGGCCTTTACTTAAGAGGTCCCTAAAATATATTTAAAAGGTATTTTTTAGAGAACAGGGGGCAAACGGGAGGCTCATCTGATGGTAAGTGGATACATGGACAAAACCAGAAGCTTGCAAGTATCTTTTAAGTGGTACGCTCTTTGCCCTAAGTCGCCGTCGCCCTAGACACTCTAAATACCAAAAGACTCGTAAGCTCGGCCTTTACAATTAATATGACTATTTTATTATTTAGCAGTATTGGCTACAGCGACTCTCATCACTGAGGTCGTTGAACCCCGTGGACCAATGGACTTTCTAAAGCATTTAAGGCCCTATCCCAGCACGAATTTCTGTGTCAGTGTCTCAAGGTGGACTGCGGGGCGCAGTGGAGACCTGGAGCACTCAGCCGCGCCGGCCCGTAATAACATTTAGTTATGTAAAACATTAAATTAATATAATTTTATCCATTTTTTTTCCGAAATGGATTACTTGGCTTGCGATAAAATATGTAGTGTAAATTTCAAAATCATGTTCTATAACATTTCCGTCATAAAGTGAATTCAAAGTGTGAAAAATTGGCTATGTTTGTTTTTTTTTATCTATCAAGTGAAGTTATTTAAATCGTGTATCGATCTTTCAAAATGTTTACATAAACTAGTCAACTCCACCATATATTTTTTCCATTCGCCTTACTTCAAGCAATGATGACGAAAAATTGTAGCGGCAGTGATTTATTTACTTTTTATTATTTAATACAATCCAACACATAGGTGTGTACCACCTCCCCACACACCGTTCTCGCGTTTGCGTGCATCTCATCTTACAGTTACCCGATACGCTCAAACATGCAAAGTACACGACGCACGATTAACCCATCTTCATTCAAGTATGATATTATATCTGATGGGTCTTCAAGTCAATAAAATAAGATTTTCATAGTGTCATTTATTTATTTACAAGCCTGCCAACGCTTGCAAATCTAAAATTAGAAGCATTTAATATATATTTATTTTTTGACGTTCATAAGTGTACCTATATGAGTAAATGATTTTGACTTTTTTGACTTTTGGATTTACGCCTTTAGTACACCTACGCGTTCGTATGCGGCTGCGAATCTTTGCGAAATAATTGCGGTAGCGAAATATCTGCGGAACGTTAGTACACTGCAGGTTTTTCGCAAGGATATGTCATTGTAGCTTTCGTGGGCTGTAGGTGCAGACGTCGTTTCAGAATGTCATCTGAGTCGTCCCAGTCGTCGCTTTCAGATTCTGAAGAGGATTTTGTAATCAACTTGCCCAACTAAATATAATTCGAGGTAATTTCGAATCAAATTCATTAATAATTCAATATTTTCGGCTTCCATTGTGCGAAATTCTGTCCTCACTGACAGAACGCGTGTTGACGCCTTGCGATGCGAAACTTCATTAGCGAAACGTCTGCGTCTGTGTAACAGCCATTTCGCAGTTAGTTGCGAAACAATACCGACAAGGACGCAACTATTTCATCTAGCTATATATTAGAGCGAGACAAAACACATGCGAAACGTTGCCATACAACTTACAGTTTTTTCGTCGTTTCGCTGCCGCATGCGATTGCGTTGAGTACACCAAAGGCGTTAATGTGACACTTATTGACAAAAATAAGAAACACAGCTCACCTGATGTTAAGTGATACCGTCGCCATATAATAATAGTTAGAATTGGTACGCTCTTTGAAGGATCCTAAATCAAATTGGTTAGGAAATACCTACCGCCCATGGACACTCAATGGCAGAAGTCTCGCGACTGCGTTGCCGGTATTTTAAGAATTGGTAAGCTCTATTAAGGAGCCTAAGGCTATGTTCACATGTAACGCGCGTTAACGCGCGTCAACGCGCGATCAAATTTGAAGAGCGTTCAGATGATGAGCGCTAACGCGCGTTGCGAGAGTACTCGTCAGTCTAGTTCGGTAGAACGTAGAAAATGGACGTGGAAGAGGCTATTATTTTGTGGTTATATTATAAAGAAAAATATAGAAAAAGAAAACGTACACATTGGGTTCATCCAATTTTGAAAAAAAATACAAATTATATTATATTTTTTATACAAATTTGCTAT